TAGATCTAATGAAATCCAGAAAGCGACAACCCTCGAGGAAAACTCTGGAGTCTAAGCTCGTTTCCTGATGGATCCATATCTCTAACTGAAAAAAAAAAAACACAGATCTTTAACAACATAGAGTTTCTCTGAAATTAAAAATGACCTACTTCATCATGACAACTGTAAATGGGCCAAACCTTAACAAAATAAAGAACCATTCTAGTTCTAATACCACACAACATGTCATGTTAATGCAAAGACTGTTGTTTATATGTAGCAGAGGGGACTTTGAGACTAGATTTATTGCTCCAATTCAATGGAAATGTCAAGCAGAACATTTCTTTTGCTTAAAAACAACTGTTGTTTGATTTTCCATAGATTCAACAATTAATTCCCAAAGCATGACATGTGCTCCCATGTCAGTTGCAAAGTTTATCTGCTGACTAGGCTGAGGTTTTGCGTGACATTCAGCCGATGGTCCGTAACAGCAAGACCGAGAAACAACCACCTTCATCTGGTCTTATCTTCCTCTTTACTATAATTACAGCTCTTCTCTGAGAAACTGCAACCAGATGCTCTACATGTGGATCCACATGAGTCTAACAGAGCCGTGACCACGAACAATGAGAGGGAGAGAGTGGGATGTGCATGTCTGTAAACGTCAACTTTTGACCCATTTTCAAAGCTCGAAGAAAAATCAAAGGCCTCTCTGACACTCAAAAGCAATCAGATTGGCAGGGGTCTTGAGGCTTTAATGGTTGCATTGACATGGTATGCAACTGCTTATGCTGGAAAAGGTGTAGACTTTGGGTAGGAACTGTTAAATGTTTCTGTCATCAAAGGCAGATTGTAATAGGCGACCGGAGACACACACCTGGATGATAATCAAATACTCCTCCATGACACACAATGCTACTTTGTGGACTAATCAGATGAAGTGGCAATGCTCTCTTTAGCTGTGTTTGATGCCTGATGAAAACAAACATAGTGGCCTACTGGAGCCTTGTAATCTGATGCTTCCCTGAACAGTCCCAAAATAGTCCAAAATATTGCTTCAGACCTCTGTGATACTCTGCATTTGTTTTGATTTCTTAAAAATTCAGGTTTGTGTAAAGCAGGATATGAAATCACTAAACCCGGTCGATCTGTTCATGTTCATGTAACTGTGACTTATTCAGCGATGACAGATGAACAAACACAGTGGAATTCTTTCCATTCTGTGATGCAAGGGCACAACACAAAACATGAACTCAGACAAAACAGAAGCACAAAAAGAGAGTTTGCATGGTATGAACGGAGCAACATGTGGCTCAACGTACTATGTCTGGAGAAAAATTTGTTTTTCGCTGCACAATTGCAGTATAAACGGCATGTACGCTTCACAACACCTTCTCTAAACAGTTTTCCCTCATGTGAAGGTCTGACACTACTAGCATTTTTATAGAACAAGTTCAGGTCACATTTCAGCTCAAAATCAAAAGACAAAAAAAACTTAAAAATAAAATGTAAAAAACTATACAAATATTATAAAAATGTACAGTTTTCATTAATTAAAATAAAATGTTTACAGTACCAAAAATATTATTTGCACATTACTGTCAAATTCTCATTACTAGATTACTTAATTTACTATACTACTTTAATAGATTACTAGATTACTCATTACAGTATTTAAGTTTTGAAATTCTCAAAATTATAATGATTCTTATTAGACTAATACAGTATTTTAATTTTTTTTTATTTTAGCATAAAGGCAGTACAACATACTACAATGGTAAAATCCCCCTTTTTGAGGAGAAAATGTACTTAATTGTTATGAAATAATGGCCCTAAAAACAGGCTTTATTATTATTTGTTTTCATTTAATTTATTTATTTATTGCAACAGTATAATTTTAATAAGAGAATTTTGGAGCGAAATGGCTTTTTTGTGAAATTTACAAAGCCAGGCTTTACTCAAATCTTGTTATATCAAAATATCTGCTATAAATGGTAAGATTATTTATTATAAACAGTCAATCTTTGCCACAAGACCTTTGCAATGCAGCCTATTAATTCTTCTTTTAAATGCTAAAGCTTTTGGTGGTCCATTCAAGAATTTTAGTGGGAAATGTTTTACCAGTCTATAAATGTCTATTCTGGTTTGTTTGAGGAGATATGTGTAGTGTGAAATAAACATTTAGTTCCAGTTCTGTGAATATTATCGTCTCTAGCACACATATTCTTCTCTTGGCTGCTCGGTCTAGATTTACAGCAAGCAGGCGTCTATGCAGGATTTGTGTAAACTCAGACTGGAGTCAGCAAAGGTTTGAATTAACATCCTCGAGATTTAGATTTAGACATGAAAGTCTTCATCTAATGCTCAGTGAGTGCATGAACTCCTGCAGCTACCAGACGCGATTCACATCATCAACGTGATTAATGATCCACATAATTTGACTTATCACCTGATCCCTAATGATGAATTGACGTAATGACTTGACGATCAGTATCTGACGGCTAAAACATGCCGAGTGGAAATCTCAGGATAAACCTGGAAAAGCATTAAACAATGGATGAGAAACTTTCACAAGAGTTCAGGGCTAAGTTTCTTTGTGCATTCAGTGCCTGTGTTGGCAAAGCATGTGAATATTCAAGGACAATGACGTCAGGCACAAACCATTCAATGCCAAATGGCACAACGCTGCCACAAACACTCGCAAAGTGAGTTACTGTAAACATGCACATAACTGCAATGATCTACTGGTACAGTAGTGGCTGGGCTTTTTTCACCCACAATAAGCACTTTTGAGTTTTTTCTGTGAATGTACAATCGCTAAATTAATTTCCGCTCAATCAGGTTTCTGAGTTATAAAAACAGCCTGCGGACTGTAGATAACGTCTGTCTTTCTTCAGCACTGTCAAGCCTTTTTCCCTACACTGTCCAAAAAAGCAAAACTCTCTGAAAGCCAGGAAAACTGTTTTAGCAACTTCAACAACACAATTCACACTCTCTCTCAGTGTAAAGATAAACGGCTGCTTAAAAGGATTGTTTACCCAAAAATGAACATTCTGTCATAATTTACTCAACCTCAAGTTGTTTCAAACATGAACATGTTAGCTTCCACTAACTTTTTGGTTACTGATATTCTTTAAAAATATGTTCTTTTGTGTTTAACAGAAAAAAGAAACTCATACAGGTTTGGAACGACTTACTTTGATAATGTTTAAACTGCACCTGTACTGCATTCTGAAGTTAAAATGTCAAGTCAATTAAATGATGCAACAAAAGAAACCGTAATGATTTTCACTAAGTATCTCAAAGTTTCTCTGTTTGAACTGAGCGCTGTGTCCCACACAAACCCCCATGATCCTGCTGTTTTGCATGCCTGCCCCAACAGCTGTTTCCCAGGGTCAGTGCATATGTGGCATGAAAGAGGTGACAAAACAGATGAAGTACAGGGCATATCTGCTCCACTTAAATGTTGCACACACATTTTGTAGATACTAAGTATCTATTTGTATCTTGCACATACTTTGAAGTGCCCTTCTGAGAAAAGCCAGATTTTGGGTTAGCTTTGCTGATGATGAAATAGTTTGGACTGAGGGGGCTTCTTTGTCAGAATGAAGTAACAGAAAGTGAGCTATAGAAATGTACTGGGCTGTTTAAGGAACTGACTCATTCCTTTTTGAGCAATTCCTTCTACAGCTGCTACTTTACACGATGGATGGTCATTACAAACCGCATGTGTAGCCTACACATTCTAAAAGCCTGGAATTTGATACGTCAAGACTTTATAATGGCTACAGACTCAAATCTAGTGACCTCTCTTGCTTTCTTCTAACTAGAGAATAAAACTTAGCAAGTATAAAGGACCGAATTGTAACGCTCTCACTGAGCTTGCTGGGACTGCCTTCTCTGTAAAGGCAGCTTATCTTTGGCAGCAAGCATATGATGCCTTAAAATGCTGCCTATGTAGGCAGCTCACTAGGTTTTGGAACAGAGCCCTAGAAACCCACTAACACAATCTGCAACAGTTTCCCCCTGGAAAATGGAAGTCACATGACAACATTAACTTTGTGAAAACTTCTCTCCGCTGACATTTTTCTCACAATCGGGTAATTGACAGAAATGTGGGGGTGATACTGTGAATCTTTTCTCTTTGAGCCCCACTTACTGTCACACATGACTGTGTAGAGGCCATATTCAAATCACATGTGGTCAGTCACACTGGTTAGTTTTACCAGCGACTGAGACAGACAATAAAACTGTGAAATTATGAGCAGTTGTCTTTGATATGAGCATGCGGATGTCAGCCAATTGAGAAGCATGAAAAAGTTATTGAACAAAACAGCTTTCATGAGCTGTGAATGGCCTACTTCAACAGAACTTCCAATCCATGATGGCATGACGTAATGCTTTTAAACAAACCAGAAGTCACACATACAATCAAATAGCACCCTAAATAAAGATAATATGCATAAAAAAACAAAACAAACAAGTGTTAAGTGTGCAATGCTGTGCTAAATCCATCCCGCATCATCTTATGTCCATTCACTGTTTGAAACAGTACTTCCTTAATAAAGTCTGACACAAAAGAGGCATTATCTTAAGGTCATAAATATCAAGGACATGCCTGATGGGATAGCTGCCTCATACTGTGACATTCACGTATGCAACAAGTTAAATAACAATGAGATATGCAGTATGTCATGAATATGGTTAAACTCTGTTAATGATTGTTCAAAACACTATTCATGAATCATAAGCTCTAAGAGTTTTATCAAAATTTTAAAAGGAACAGCTGATCCCACCTGGATACCAATAAACACTATATAGTTAATAGCCTTCATATGTATACATATTCACATATATAGATTATAAATCTGAAACAGAAACTACAACACATGGTTTTGCCATTGTAGCAATATGGCACGAAGGCTTCCATAACAAACAAACAAACAAAATAATAAACACTTTTAAATAAATAAATGAGTTAGATAAGTAAGCATGTATGTATATAAAGTAAATATATTCACCTTGAGGTTCGTGGGTTTAACCGAAGGCTTTTTGAACAGGGAAGTTCTTGCGGTGAAAAAATATTCCTCTGAATCCTCTTCCAAACTACTGTATCCACTACTCATGGTGCTCGTCCACGACATTTGAAGAGAAACTCTGACACATCCAAAAACAGGTTTCATATGCGCGCAAAAATAGTACTGTATGATAAAGTCAAACGGGTTGGTGAACCAACGCTGCGAAACGCCAACGCGAGTCACTGACGCTCCGTAACCATCGGCTTTATTGCTCCCTAAAAGACGAAACAGTTGGCAAATTGCAAAAACACTTTTTCGTTTCTGGTTAAATACGTTATATCTATAACTAATAAACGTATGAAGTGTGGAAACACTAGAAATACTTCAAAACCCAAGGAAAACGCGCCCGGTCGAGCCGTTCCCTAACATTTTCAAACTAAACTGTGAGTTCAATAGATTGAACCGGAGCGGCTCGCTGGAAGAACACACCCACAAACACACACACACACACACACACAATGACAAACAGTTCCTCATACACTGGCTCCTGTTGCGTCCCCTACCTGCGTACCTGATTAGTGTTCATTTAAATAAAGTTTCTTTCATAAACGGAGGGGGTGATATGATAAAATAAACCAATGCTCAATAAAAAAAATATTAATTTATTAGTAGTAAAAATCAGCACAAACAATTCTTCCGCCGAGTAAAATAGTTCATTAATCTGTCTTTGGTACTGTTGCCACGCAACGTACAGCAGCGGCTTGGCGTATTAAAGGGGTCATATGATGCTGCTAAAAAGAACATTATTTGGTGTATTTGGTGTAATGAAATGTGTTTATGCGGTTTAAAGTTAAAAAAACACATTATTTTCCACATACTGTACATTATTGTTTCTCCTCTATGCTCAAATTAAGTGCGGCGGCTATTTTATAACGGCTTCGAGCGCTTTTCATCCAGTAACAATTGATAATTTTAACTTTCTGCTGTAATAATGTAATTTTCTCTGCCTGAAGAGTACTACTACTGAAAATATTAAAAAATGTAAGTTCACTTACCTCTATAAGTATGCAACATACAGAAGCAAGCTTTCTTATTTTCCTTCTTTGAAACATAGCATGGACTACTTCTCAAGCTGGTGCAGGCCTACCATCTGAGCTAAAAATATAGGTTTGAGGCATTTAATACAAGGCAGTACGCCCATATGAAAGGGTGTAGCTGTGGACCAATGCAAACATGAGGACCAACCGTGTAAAAGTGGAAGACAGTTTGATGACAGACTTCTGTGAAAGATGTGTGCGAGTGTGTGTATCATCGCAAGGTAGAACTTGGTCCGGTGACCTAAACTAGCGTGAGAACGACAACTTAAACATTGTGATTGTTAATTAACATGTTTGGATAAGAACCTGTGACCATGGTCACAGAGGAAATGGGTTCCCACCACTTTTACAACTTCTCACATTTCAGGTCATGTGATCAAGAGTAACGTTATCTGATCAGTCAGTCATGAAGAACAAACTTCCATGTGGAAGCTGCTAACCAGTAAAACAATTAACCCACCCAACCAATGACAAATTACAAGCCTCATTTTTATGACTTTGTGTTGGACATAAGGTCTGGTTTTGGCTCTACTCCACAAGCAAACCCATAATTTCTGGGGTTAGACACACTTTGTAATTTATCCAAAGATGTTGGGTCCCACTTTTCTCCAGATCACAGATATATGGAGAATTAGAAAGTCGTCCTAAAATTACACATGTAAGTTGTAGCACATGTAACTAGTTCTTGAAAAAAGCAAACTATTGTTCTATTATTTATTCAGAAGAGCACAGCATTTATGATATCCTAAGCAAATTTTCCACTAAACCCATGACAGCGCCTCAGCTTTGGCTTGCATTATCTGTCAGGCGAAATTCATTACTGCGACCACCGCCAAACAGTTTTTATATCAACTTCTACGAGCTCCAATCCAAAAGAGCACAGACATCTTTACTGTGTTAACAGCTGCTTTGAGGTTTTAGCATATTATGTTTCCAAACGATTTTCTACTTTATACATGTATATTTTGTATTTTACAGTGCGCCGCCTATGATAACACCCCACCCAGTCAAGAGAAAAATGTCTGATTCCAAAGAGTGAAATCCAAGCAACATCTGCAGTAGATCAAGGACAGGGTAACCACGCCCCACAAACTGCAGCTTTCATAAAGTTTGTGGAAGGGCAGTGCTTAATTTAATTTAGAACATGGAGAAGACTTAAAAATACCCTGTCAGTAAAGGAACGGCCAAATCATGCAAACCAAAGGCATCAGTGGTAGGTCAGTACTATGTCAAATTAACCAACACAATCTCACTGCAAATCATAGCTTTTTTACCTTTTGGCAAATTGGTGGCTAAAGGCACGTTCACCAAAGACGATAACTATAACCGTAAAGTTTTAATAATCATTGTAATTCTATGCGAATAGGAAATTTCACACTACAACAAAAAAAATAAGGACACAGAAATAAAATATTGTTGGAATCCATGTGTTTAATGATTGACAGCCAATTAGAATCCACCCAGCTTTAGGATGTGTTTACATGACACAGTTTTTTTTGGCTGTTAATTTACACGAAAAGGGCATTTTCGGAGCATGAAAATGCAAAAAACTTTGGAAAATGATACCATTATTGCTTCTGTGTAAACTACAAAAATGCAAAATTGTGAAAATGGTGACATCATACACATGCATATTACATGTTTATGGACCTTTTTCACATTTCCGGGTTTCTCAGCAGCGGAAACCAATTTGGTTGTTGGTGTGAATGGGCCTTAAATTTTATAAGTGTGTACGATCCCATTTGTATGTTTTTATACAATCTGTTTACCATGTTCAGTTTTAGAGGTGGAGTATCATGCTTACTTTTTTTCTCCCTAAAAATCATACATTTTCATACAAATCACATCGTACAAATTCATACGAAATTGTCATCTCAGAAAATCGTTATATTTTCTCATGAGATCAGTTTTATTCAGAATTAACATTAGTTCTCACTCAAAAACGACAATGATTCTAAAATTCTAAAACATTTTAAAATAAGTTTTATTTGCGGATGCAGCACAAACTACTTAAAATACATAACAAATTGAAGTAGAAGCAAGAGACCATTGAATCAAGGTAACTTAAGGATTATTTTGCAAAGATGACTGTAGTTTTGAAAATTAATTCAGTTTTAGGCTCAAACTTTTACACAACTTCATGTAACACAAAAAGCACAAGTGATATAATAAATGTTTTTATCCTCTGGCACGTTAATCTATTATTACCAAGTCATTTATGTAACTATACTGTAAAGCAAACACCAGCACCCAAAGGCACAGTAACTCTACAGTGCATGACAACAGACACATGACTCCTAGAAACACCCAAAAGGAGCATTATTCATAAGGTTGTTGCATTTAAAAGTGTTAGTTTCCCTCTTCTCAGATACTCCAGATGTTATTATTTTGGGACAATCAAGATATGAGAGGTGAACTCAAAAAGACAAGAATCTGAGGGAAGCTGAAACAGACAGTGACCTCAGCTTCTCAGTCTAAACGCTAGTGAGATCCAACCTGAGATCAGGGTTTTCTACATAAACAATCAGTGTTCACTATCCCTAGATGGAAATCATAGTCTTTTCTCCAGCCAAACCTCACATATCCAGACAGTAAAGAAAGACTAAATAGATTGAAATTTGGTACCAGAATCCACACAAAGGAGGCCCACAGTTCACGGTTTGACTCCAGGACAGGTTTCGTCTTGTCTTGTGGTGGGTTTCAGAAGGTCATTGAAGTTTTAAAGACTCTTTGTATGTCGTTCTGGTGTCTACAGTACATACAGGCAAACATGTCTATGTTATCCCACAATCTTTTGAATTCAGCAGTCTAAACCCCCAGAAAAGCATCTACTTTGGTTAAAATAGTTTTATCTAAACATAAACATTGGGCTGAGGTGGACCTGACCTCTATAAACAACAGCTTGATTCAACTCTCTAGACTGAACATACAATGGCTCTATGATTGAATGAAAAGTGAGTGGAAGGATGAAGATAAGGCCTGATGGATTGTGAGAACAAATTTGACCTGCATAATGCCTTTAACTGGCATATCTTTACTTCAGTATGTTTACTGTAATTTTGACATTTTAAAGCCTGTTTCGCTGATTCAAATTATATATCTAATATTACATCTTGGCTCATCCAAATTTTGGAGTCAGAACAATCCACTATAAGTTTTAAGGAACAGGGTTGTTATCAGTCCCAAAGGTTTGTAAATACCTCGATATGCAATCCGACCCGTTGCTGAGCTTTCCACTTTTACATCCAGCTGATCCTGTCGGCTAATCCGGGCCTTCTGAATGTGGTGACGGCTGGGAGCAATTAGCAAGCACTCATTCACATGCAGACAGGCTGGGTACGCTTTTCCATGGAAAGGTACTTTATTACTGTTTAATACAGAAGTAGCCACAGCAACCGCACTCTGGTGTTCTGTCAAAGGGTCTTCAGTTTTAGGCGCTCCATGGTTTCATTTACAAACGTAGGCTAGTTTAATTAAAAACACTCTTTAGGACCCGAGATCTGAAGATCTGAAGAAAGAGAAGGGATTAGCTCTTAAACCAGGCAGTTTCTAATCTCATACCTGAGGGAAAACACCTACCTGCTTATTCTGCTAAGAGGGTTTGTCTTCTTTAAAGTTGCATGAACTAAAAGTGAATTATGGTCACAGATTGTGGTCCTCAATTAGGTCAAAAGGCCTGACCTACATAGTAGGGTATTTATAGGTTCCTTTAGGTGACAGTTAAAAGCCAAAATTAATTCTTCTAGCATTCCAATCCAGCCAAGAATGACATATTTTCCCAAGCTGCATTATTGGAGCAATAGTTGCCCAATTCTTCTAGCAAACTCCTTCGAAGCAAATGTCATTCTAAGCCTACACAATTAATGCAATACTTGAGGTTCCATAAAACAAAAAAAATCTTTAAATTTTACAGGCCTAACTGAATTTTAGCACTCAAAGATCAGCTGGCTCTAACCCATTCTGAGCAGTCCAACAGCAAATTTACCAAAGTGCACAAGCAAAAAGAAACCAGAACATGTTGTGCACTGATACTTCATTATTGTCAAATGACAGCAAGTCTGAATCAACATAAAAATTGCCCAGATTTTCACATCACATAATCATTACTTTAATATGTTCATTGTTTCTGCTTATACGAACATGTGACATCAACTACCCAGCTAACAGGGAACGTTTTCAAAACTTTGGCTATAAAGTTTTCTCAAAGTCGTTCAAACATTCTTCAAGTAACGTTAATAGAACATTTGTTCAGTTCTCAAAAAAACTGAATGTAATGTTCTCAAAATGTTAGCACAAAAACATTCACACTTTTTTCCCCCGAAACATTTTATTTAGATGTAA